AAATGACATTATGTAATGCATTACTAATTACTCAGTAATAATTAGCAATCTTTCTACATCTGTATATTTCCCCTTTTTATGTAATAGTTGCAAGTAGTTTTCTGTTGTCAATAATTTAGATTATCACCAGTGTTTTTGCTTTGGTAGATGCCAATACATGAGTATCCTTGATATGTATGCACTTATATAAATATCTCTAACTCGTAAACCAAAAACCAAACTCACTGCCATTGAGTGAATGCTGACTCATGATGACCCCATAGGACCAGGGTAGAGCTGTGACTGTTTACAGGAATAGAAAGCCTAGTCTTTTTCCTGTGGAGCGGCTGGTGGTTTTGAACTTCAGACTTTTAAGATCGAGGTCCAACGAGTAATCACTATGCCACCAGGGTGCCTAATGAGTAGATTCCTAGAAAGGGAATTGTTATAGGGTATAAAGTCTGTAACTAAGAAAGTTGTATTTATCGTAAACTCATAATCCTTTAGTATCAAAAATTCTAAGATCCTTTTAGCATTAATAGGCTCTTCCTTCAACATAACCTATGTACAATAGATAAAATATATTAGGATTGATGGTATTACTGGGTGTGGGTTGTAATACTTCTAAAGAGAACACTAATAAGGGCCTTACTGTACAGGGACTGAGTTCTTTGGCATTCTCTGATGAGTGCTCTTGCTGAGTGCTGAGACAGAATATGTGGTCATGAAAATTCTGAGAGAAATAAAGAAGTGGTTAGTTTTTGTTGGAATTATTCAACAACTTGGGGTTTAACATCTTAATTGTCAAATTAGTTCATGTCATCATGTTTACAGACTAAATATAGAATGGAAAAGTTAGCTGTGGCACAACATTGAAAGTTGGTCTGTACTTTTCTTACCTCATTAGAAATTAAGAGATAAAAAAAAAATTTTCAAAAACCCAGAGCCATGGTCATTAAGTGTATTCTGATTCATTAGCAACCCCATAGGACACAGTAGAACTGTCCCACAGTTTCCTAGGCTGTAAATCTTAACAGTAACAGACGGCCACATTTTTCTCCCAAGGGTTTGAACAGCAGAGTTGTTTAAATACTATGACCTTGGGCTCCTTTAAGAAGAATTTGAGATGTCCAAAACTGGATGAGCTCACTATCTCTGAGATGGATTTTGAGAGAAAGTGGAGATGACTGTAGGTCAATTTGAGCAGAATTTGACCTGTGTCAAGCTCAACTCAACTGTTAAGACTGAATCCACAAACAGGAGACAACTGTGCCAAAAAGCCAGGGCTAATAGGAGAAAGTATTAACTCAGTTTCTAGAGCCATTGTGATTGAATTTAAACCTCCATATGCTCTTTACTGCTCCAATGACACTCTTTATACGTACTGTTTGAGTTATTGGATGTTTTAGGGTTTTTTTGTTTTGTTTTGTTTTTTTTGTTTTAGGGTTTTTCGTGAAATACTCCCCTTTGTTGCTCAGCAAAAATGGAGCTCAAATTGCTTTGGACATTAGTTAGATTCTATGAAAGTATTTTGTGACTCCATGAAAGTGTACCATGTAAAGAAGAGAGAGTATCAGTTTTCTAAGTAATGTTCTCATCTCCTCACGGAGCAGAACACTTGAACTTTCCTGAGAGTATTATTGCAGCGATTTATTTATTTATTTAAAATCATTTTATTGGGGGCTCATACAACTCTTACCACAATCCATCCATCCATCCATTGTGTCAAACACATTTGTATATTTGTTGCCATCATTCTCAAAACATTTGCTTTCTACTTGAGCTCTTGATATCAACTCCTCCTTTCCCCCCTCCCTTTCCCACCCTCTTTCCCTCCCTCCCTCCCTCCCTCATGAACCCTTGATAATTTATAAATTATTACTATTTTGTCATGTCTTACACTGTCCGCTGTCTCCCTTCACCCACTTTTCTGTTGTCTGCCTCCAGAGAGGGGGTTATATGTAGATCATTGTGATGGGTTCCCACCTTTCCCTTCCCCTCCTGGTGTTGCTACTCTCATTATTGGTCGTGAGGGGTTTATCTGTCCTGTATTCCCTGAGTTTCCAGTTGTACATCCTTTGGTCTAGCTGGATTTGTAAAGGTAGAATTGGGATCATGATGGGGGGGGGGAGCATTAAAGAATTAGAGGAAAGTTGTATGTTTTATTGGTGCCATACTGCACCCTGACTGGTTCATCTCCTTCCCATGACCCTTCTGTAAGGGATGTCCAGTTACCTACAGATGGGCTTTGGGTCTCCACTCTGCACTCCCCCCCATTCACAATGATAGGATTTTTTGTTCTTTGATGCCTGATACCTGATTCCATTGACACCTTGTGATCACACAGGCTGGTGTGCTTCTTCCATGCGGGCTTTATTGCTTCTCAGCTAGATGGCTGCTTGTTTATCTTCAAGCCTTTAAGATCCCAGACACTATATCTTGCTGTGCACCATCAGCTCTCCTCACATTTGCTTATGCACCCGCTTTGTCTTCAGGGATCATGTCGGGAAGGGGAACATCATGGAATGCCAGTTTAATAGAACAGTGTTCTTGCATTGAGGGAATACTTCAATAGAGGCCCAATGTCTATCTGCGACCTTAATACTAAACCTATAAATATACCCTATATTTATATACTCGAGTATAAGCCGATCCGAATATCAGCCAAGGCATCTAATTTTACCACAAAAACTGCATTAAAAATGTGCCCAAAAACTCAGCTTATACACGAATATATATGGTATGCATATAGATCTATTTTCCCATTGTCATATATAAATATATTTACTTATAGGCATGCCTGTATTTAGACCTTTATAAATGCTCTTTGCCTCCTAGTTCTTTGTGGTGATTTATTACAGTAAAACCTGTGAAGAACTCTAAAAGAAGGAAACCCAAATGTTTTCCACTGATAGGAAAACTTGGCACACCTGGAAAATACAAGTTCTAGCTCTCACAAGCTTCACTACCGTGAAAGATTCAAGACGTGGCCAGAGTTTCTAACAACTCCCATTTTGACCTGCTTTTCCTACCACTGAAGTTGTGCTTTTCAAATAATACTATTTGGAGTTTGCTGAGCTAAAGAGGAAGCATTTTTAACTAAGAAATTATTTTGGAAATAACATTTAAGCATAAAATAATTAATTTACTATACACTCTTTGCGTGTTAAATCAGTTGTTTGAAGCCTCTGGAACAATTTCTCCACACTGATGTAAAAGGGAAACACTACTAAAAGATCTGAATAGATTTTAAAAACTTATTGTTCTATTTCTCACAGTTTTCTACTTATTACAGTGCAGTTTTACACTCAAAAAATAGGGAGAGATGTATGTATTATTTTGTATTTCCTGAATCTCTTGTGGAATGTTTAGAGACATTGGTAAACATAGTATATGTATTTCTAGAGCTATGACAACTTTTATTTAACTATTGGCAATATAATTTGCCAATATTGAACCTCAGAGAATATTAAGATTTTTGAAAATTATATTACCCTCTTAAAAAACAGTAAATATAAACTTTACAAAACTATAATCTCTAAAAAAAATTCTGGAGTAACCATGTAGTTTATTGGTAAGATGAATTTACAAATGACTAAGCTTCCTAATCATTTTTGAGTAATGCAGTTTAAAAGACTAAATTTAATTGTTAGCACTGGAGCTAAGCTATTGGGGTCTGTTTGGAATGTCTTTATATTGGTTCTCGGCCTTTTGGCTAAGATCAAGTGTGGAATGTCTTTATATATTTTACAGTACTTCTTATACTGTAGTACTGAAATTGAAGGGGAGCATGTAACTGAGCTAAAACGAAACAATAAGTACAGCGGATGAAAAATATTCTGAAACAGACCATCTTCTTTCCTTCCAGGCTCTTTATCTTTTGCTTACAGGATGATTTGTTTATTAAAGGATTTTTAAATTATCTTGATAATTAGAGTGTTAGAAGGTCAGTTTAGTGATATTTTGGTGATATTCTGATTTTTTTTAATATCTATTCAGTACTTCAATGAAAACACTTTTAATTCCTTAGATTTTGAACTGTAATAACAACTGCGTTCTAATCAAAGTAGCAAGCTATGTTAATGTATTTATTCTATCTGGCTAAAATTTACGGAACTATACAAATTGTTATTATTGATAAAGGTTTTGTACATTCTTACCAATCTTGGAAAGAGTATAGAGAAAATTAAAAGAGAATAATCTATCCAAATGGTTAAGTGTTACAAGCCCTCATTAGACTCAGTTCTTGCTGAAATGTAGACTTGTAAAATCAAAAGGCATAAACATTAGTCAAGAGCCCTGTTGAACGGAGTCAGTAATTCTCGATTAGGAAGCATGCCTCTCCTAGAGTGACCAGAACCCCTGGGATAACGCATAAGGATGGTTTGGGAAAAGTTCTTTCTAAAAACACATAATACGGTTTGGGGGGATGTAAATTTTTCCTTTACATGAAAGTGTGTTAAGTGGAAAAACTGTTTTATAATAGAAAGTATAGGAAATAGTGCTCAATAGATTCCATTGGTGAGAGGAAACCCCAAAGATTAGATGATTTTTAATGGTATTTATTGAGTGGACAATGGTACGCCTCTAAAAGGAACTTAACAGTGTTACGTGGGGATTTGCTGAGAAGACAAGAAGAGTAAGTTTATCAGAATGTGGCAGATATTTTAAACCTAAGAATGGGAAACATTGATCAGAGTGCTGGCTGCCAACATGATACTGCAGTGAGTGTGTCATTTCAGCATACATCTTTAAACCAAAAGGCATGAGGGCTCTGGCAGGGTTTGTTTTATAGCTTGGATGGAGGTTATTATGGTTAGTAGGTTGTTTTGTTCACTTGAGAAGTCTTTTAAGCTTAATTAAGATCCTTCCCACATAGTAGTCATAACACCTGAATTTCTTGGTTGTGTACTTGGGAAATAGATTAAATACATACGGCGGTGATATTTAGCGTACCCTTTTAAACCCCAGCCCTTTGGTTATCTTAAACATAAGTTGCATTATTTTTGTTTGTTTTTCAGTTTTTGAGACAGTGTCCTTGAGTTCAGACTCTGTCTTCCAGAGGGCAGTTTCAATTCTTCATGCTTCTTACTTGGATTCTGCATCTGAGCATGGTTTTCAGTACAGTCAAGTCACTTTGGTGAAAAATCACATTTTCTTAAATGAGGTGAGGTAATTGGTACACACTGTTGTGTCTATGGGTTAGTTTTATTTCTGTCTTAAAGGAAATTAGCCCATCGTTTTAGAATATAAGCCTCTTATTTGAGTCATCTCTTTTCAGATGAGAAAAGATCCGTGGGAATATTCTCTTGGTGGGTAATATCTTCCAGGAAATAGAAAAGTCATAGATGTTATGCATTTTTTAGCAGAAGGCATTCAGATGATACTTTAGAAAGTTAATTGCAGGGGGCACTGAATTTATGTCAATGGTGGTGGTATAATTTGGAAAGGGATATCAATATGCTTGTACAACTTGAAGGGTATAATCAATGGCACTGAATTATATGTGTAGAATTTGTTGAATTGGAGAATGTTTTGTTGTGTATATTTTTGCCACAATTAAAAAAATTACACACACAGAAACTTTGAAAGGCAAATAGCATGTTGATAGCATTTGGTCATTCTCTCTTTATACAGTACAAAACTTTTTACGAACAAAAAAAGGCAAGTAACTATACTCAGGAAGAACTTCAAGAAACTTACGGGTTTCTTCTGTTTGAAACTGAAAATCAGGTAAGGGATTTAGGTTAGTGAAAATTAATTTTGTGGTATGAATATACAGAATTCATGGTATCTGTAGTCTTAAATCCACTTCAGCCCTATAAATTTTCAAAGATTTTGTAACTTATTGTGGTAGCAGTATAAAAACATTAAGAGTTCATCATTGGGAGAGATTTGATTTTTTACCTTTGCCCCCTCTTCAATATAGTTCTAAGCTAGTGGTTTAATGTGGATTAATCTGACTTCTAAAGTGTTGATATAAGACTTTTTTTAATAGAGTGAATGGATATTTCTCGATTCTGGGTCATAGTTTATATAAACTTTCCTGTTTGCTGTGGAGATTTTTGAAACTTAAATCATTTAGTTTGAGGGAGAAGTTGAACAGTTTCTGTATCCTTATTAATTACTTGTGGCGTTTTTCATGCCTGCTATTGAATATTGAACATCAGTGTTTTTTCTTGTACCTAGTTGTGGGAGTAAGAAATGAAAACTACTACATGGGCATATCTTCAAAGATGTGAATGGCTTCCTAGATACAATTTTAGCAGTATTTGAGACCTATGATTAGACACTTAAAATAATTCAGAAGGGATGCATTGGTTGCTTTAATGGTTTATAAAGAACAAGGATAGGTTTGCTTAAGAACAGCTAACATTAAGCATGTAATACAAAATTATGAGGGTGATAGGGCAATATCAGAAGACCTTATCTCTCTTTTTATTATTTACTTAGTCATCTAAATCCAAATAAGATACGCTGCAGGTTTTCACTGAAAATGTTTGGAGGTGAGATCTTTTCATAGTTAGTGGCTATAAAGCTGTAATTGGAAAATAGATCTTTAAGAGAGGACTCATCTGTGACTAAGCTGGTTTAACTTGGTTTTGCTGGTGACATTTTTGTTAGCAGACAAAATAATATTTTGTGAAAAATTTGAAACTATTAACCAGAGCATGATTGCTTTACATCAACAAGCATTATTCTGTGTTATAGAAGCACACAGTATACAGATTTTATATTTATTTTAAAGCTAATGGAGCATAGCATTATTTCATTGTCTTTTCAAAGACTGCTAATGATAAGCTAAGTAATATCCTTTGTTTAAAGGCAAAGTTGGTATGTCAGCGTGGCCTCTGTGTTGGCAGCCGTGCAATAACCACTCTGGGTGATCCAGCCAAAGGTAAGTCTTTAAAGAATAAAGTCTTTTACACAATGAATATAAAATAGTCTAATTAAAATCTAGTTTCACTTAATTAAAAATAATCTTTAAGAAATTTATTTTGGGTTATTAACATTTTTATTGTAATTTTGTTTGTTTCCAGAGCATATTAGTTTTCCATTGGACAGTTTATATGTATTTTATTACATAAGATTGATTGCAATTCCCAAAATGCAGTAGCTCTCTTCCAACTTTGTCCCTGGGTTTCTCATTTCCATTTATCCTTTTTTCCTGTCTCTAACTGTCTTCTGAGATTTGTTTTTAGGCAAATGCTGCTTTTTGGTCTCATATATTTGAGTATTCTGAAGAGTGTATTCCTCTGGTATTATACATTATATTATATTATATCACTTAATAGCCCTGTCTATTGTAGCCCTGAAAGCTGATCCCCTACAGTCTTGGGGGTTCCACTCGTCTCCATCAGACCAGTAAGTCTGGTCTTTTTTTGATTTTGAATTTTGTCCTAGTTTTAATTTTCTTTCTCTTTCCTGTCCAGAATCGTGTATTGTGGTTCTGAACAGTGCAGTTGGTAGTGGTAGCTGGGCACAATTTAATTTTTCTGGTCTCGAAAGTAGAGAACCTTGTGTTGGTTTTCTTCACGCTTGCTCTGCTGTGGATGGGGAGAGACCAGTAGTTAGTTGTACCTTAGATGGCTTACTAGTAAGCTTCTAAGATCGCCATTGCTACTCATCAGAAGGGGCTTTTACAGCTCTTATCACAATCCATGCATACAGTACATCCATTGTGTCAAGCACCTTTGTACACATGTTGCTGTCATCATTTTCAAAACATTTTCTTTCTACTTGAACCATTGGTATAGAACATTGTTTTTATGTTACATCAGTTGACATTAATTGTCCTCTGAGACTGGTCCTAAGTCCAATGATAGGGTCAGAATTTTTCTTTTTTTTTTAAATCATTGGGGGCTCATACAACTCTTATCACAATCCATACATACATCAATTGTGTAAAGCACATTTGTGCATTTGTTGCCATCATCATTCTCAAAACATTTGCTTTCTACTTGAGCCCTTGGTATCAGCTCCTCATTTTCCCCCTCCCTCCCCGCTCCCCCCTCCCTCATGAACCTTTGATAACTTATAAATTAGTATTTTGTCATATCTTACACTGTCCGAGGTCTCCCTTCACCCACTTTTCTATTGTCCATCCCCCAGGGAGGAGGCTATATGTAGATCCTTGTAATCAGTTCCCCCTCTGTACACCACCCTCCCTCCACCCTCCGTATCACCACTCTCACCACTGGTCCTGAAGGGGTCATCTGTCCTGGATTCCCTGTGTTTCCATTTCCTAGCTGTACCAGTGTGCATCCTCTGGTCTAGCCGGGTTTGTAAGGTAGAATTGGGATCATGATAGTGAGAATTTTAATCATACTGAAGAGCTTAAAATTTAGTTTTTTTAATAGCAAAGCAGTTACATGATTAAACTTTTTAAAAGCCTGGTTGAAAAGATGCTAAAATTATCCACGAACAGTCCTCCCTATATTCTAAACTATCATAATGGGAATGGGAATAAACAATAAATAAAACTGGCCAAGCCTAGCAACGATGGAATGCAAAGGGTAGAGAGAGTAAATAATTGCATAGATTTTTAAACTTAGAGTCTAGTGATACTAATCGTAGATAAAAGACACAGCAGGAGTGAAGCTGGTAAATTGAAGAAGGAGGTAATCTAATCGTTAAAGATATGGGTTCATACTAAATTTAACTTTAATTTCCGTAGCAGTAAGATACATAAAACCACTATAACGAGTTACTTGGAGAACTAAATGGGACTATGTAAAGTGGCTAGCCCAGGAGCTAAACTTTTTGGTGAATGGAGATTACTACTTTTGTGAGTTAAATTTTAAAAATAATGAAATCTCCATTAAGTGCTTCTGGCTCATATCTAGCCAGGTTCATGGCTGGATGGTACAAATACTGTAATCGGGAAAGAGATTCGATTTGGAATGGGCCTGAGGTAGGGTTGGTAGAAGTGTTGTGTTAGAACTCAAGACACTGTTACATGGGACTATATAAAAGGAAGAAATAGGAAAAAAAAAACACTTGTGAATCATTATGAGGATGCGGAGATGGGAAGGTGACGATAGGGGGATGGGATTCCGTAATGAGGATGGGGAATCAGGAAGTAGTTTTACAAAAAGCAGAAGGATCTAAAGGAAGACTGTTTGGTGGTGCTGGACGTTACACAGTTAGAGAAGATCAAGACTTAGAAAGATCCTTGGGCTTGAGTAGATTTCTGCTGACTTGTTTTGTTAATAGCAGTTGTATAGTTCATGTAGCACACAATTAACATTTTTAAAGTATACAGTTAGCATCGTTAGTATATTCATAGACATGTACTAACCATCATCACATTTTATAACATTTTGTGATGCCACAGTGAAATCCTATGCCCCCCATTAATTTCCCAACTGTAGCCCTGGGCAACCACTAGTCAACATTCTATCTTGCTTGATTTGCTTATTCTGAACACTTCGTGTCAGTGGTATTATACAATACATGCTCTCTTTTGACTGATGTCTTTTACTTAGCATAATGTTTTCAAGTTTCATGTTGTATTAGTACTCCATTTCTCTTTACTGCTGACTAATATTTGGTTAGATGTCTATTCTGTATTTTTTTAATCTATTCATTAGTTTATGGGTGTTTGAGTTATTTCCATTTTGGGGCTATTATAGATAATACTACTGTAAACATTTGCATACATTTTTGTGGGTGTATCTTTTCATTTCTTTTGAGTGTACACTTAGTAAAATGTCTAGGTTATGTGTTTTATTATTATTATAATTATTTTTTTTTTATCTTTTATTATTTTTTAATTGTGTGTTTTTTAAACATTTTTTTAATGAAACCTTGACTCTTCTGCCCTATTTTTCACCCTACTCTCTCCATTATGAAAAGTTTAAACATATTTAAAAAGGAGAGAGCTATTTTTAGCACATAATGAAATAAGAGTATTTACAGATTTTTTTTTTTAACCAAAAAAAAACCTTTAGAATACCATAGGCCTTTTGGTTAAATAATTACATGGAGAAAGGAGACAAATATAAGACTCTAAAAAATATGATACTCTTTTCCAGTTACTTTGCCAAACTAAAATATGACAAGTATTTGTCATACTTTAGCTTTAATGTTTCCATCCCATTAGAATATCACAAATACTGATTTGTTTTTCTTAAGGGAACGATATCAAAACAAATTTTGTAAGTTGACTTATATCTGCTTTTGTGTAGTCTTAGTTATAGTTAGCCCTATATGTGAATTGTATATGTGTAATCATGTTTTCAAACTATAAATTAATCTATATGTTTTACTTTTACAGGTGTATACATTTGTAAGTATTCAGACTGTCTTCATCCCAGACCTTGGTACGATGGAAAATCTGGTTATGTTGTGATTTTTAATCTTATTAAGGTAAAGTCCATATATGCATTATTTTTTTTAAAGGAAATAAGCTATGATGATGGTCTTTGCAGATCAGTAGTTATGTATAGTTCTCTACCCAGATTATTTTCTTAAGATAAAAAGGTTTCTTGTACATTTTATAGTTTGACTATTGAATTTTTGAACATTAAAAACAAGAAAAAACAACAGTAAGTATTCAGTGATATTGACAAGTCTTTCCAACCCTCTCTGTATTAATGTTTTAAAACACATAACAGAAAACAATTAAAGTTTTTTAAAGTTCTAAAAGAAAAATTTCAGAAAGCACACTTCGTTGTCTGATTTAAATAACAAAATAAATTTAAAGCTTTAATTTCTTTATCCATGAAACTTCTAGAATTCAGCATGGTTGATTTTCTAAATATACTACAGTTGGTCTTAGCCAAAAGGCTGAGAAGTGATTGATTTCCTAAATATGTTGTTTGTTCATGACTTCATGTGGCACCTAAAAAAATGAGTCCTGCAATTAGAATGTTCTCCTGATTTTAGAGGTTGTTGGGCTTTTGCTGCATCTATTCTGCTGCAGAAACTATGCCTTCAGCTTAGGTAACAAATATGGACTTGTTCTTCATGTATTGTAAACTCCATCAGCTGTGGAGGAGCCCTTGTGCATAGTGGTTCCACATGGGTGCACACCAACCCGTCACTCCATGGGAGAAAGACAGGCTTTCTACTCCCGTACAGAGTTAACAGTCTACACTGTAAACTCCTCATAGCAACAGTATCTTCAATTCTATGTCATTGGATAAATTATTGATATTTTAAATGCAATTGCCTTTTGCCCAAGGGGGATGATTGACAATGTTTTTCTTTGTGTTTCTTTGTTTTTCCACCTTTTTTGGGTTTGTTTGGGGTTTTTTTTTGCTGTTCTTCTTGTTGGTTCTATTTTTTATTTTTGTCATAATATGACCGCCAAAGTAAATCAGAGTCTTTCATAACCTGTGGACAACAGATGGATTCTGGGCTCCCAGTTAATTCTAGCCACAAGCCAAGAACAGTTTTGTAACATGGCCCTGCTCAATACTTGCCTTCATACTTGCCTGAAGATAAGGGTGCTACAGCAAAATGAAGAGAGCAGATGGTGCCCAGCTATTAATTGGAATAGTGTCTGGGTTCTTCAAGGCTTGTATTCAGAGAAGCAGCCATCTAAGTAAGGTGTCAACTAAGTCCAAATCAAAGAAGCACACCAGCCTGTGTGATCCAAAATGACAATAAGAAAACCCAAATATGACGAAGGGAAAAGTATCAGAGCTTAAATTGTGAACACCCACTTTGTAGAAGGCTGTGGAGTATCTGGAGAATATCTAGTCAGATTAAGCTTCTGGCAGATCTTCTAGCCAAAGGCAAGGGTCTTGCTCTATCAAACAGATATTACTGTAAACTTGATTATGGTGGATCGAACCATGGTATAATAATGGCACTTGGTCAGTTAACCTCCTGTTTGACCCACCCTGAATTTGTTCTAGGCTCAAATATTTCTCACTTGTTCCAAAACAGAGATTTCTTCTCTGGATTGTTAAATATTGTTGTTGGTCCTTTCTTTCTAAGTCTTTAATTTTATTTTTATATTATTATTTTCTTCTTTCTGGGTTTTTTTTTTATTGTTTCTGTTGGACTTCCCAGTTTGTGAAGCACAGAAAAGGAGTGGATGCATACAGACAATAACTGATGTAATGGTTTATTGGGGACACAGGGATTATAGGGGAAAGGGGGATTTTGAAGTAAACAATGAATGTAGAAGTAGAGAGAGAGTATTATAACTGATTGTGATGATGTAGATACAAGTCTTTTAAAAAGAGATTTAACTATGAAAGTGTATGATATGTGAATATTATATCAAGAAAACAAACAAAAAAATGAAATCAAATGACCAATAGCTACTGTGGGTGAAGGAGGAAGAGTCGTTGTATAGAGGCCATTGAGTTTATGTCAGTGATGGTAGAATAATTTAGAAAAGGGTGTCAATAGTGGTCATACAACACAAAGAGTATTATCAGTGGCACTCAATTATACATGTAGAAGTTGTTGAACTGGGGTTGGGGGGAGGCGAAGAGTCTCAGAAACTCAGGCGCAGTTCTCTGCTGACCTATGGGGTCACAATGAGTCAGAATTGACTTAGATAGCTGTGAGTTTGGTTTTGAGTCTTCAATCTTGACTTTTTGCCACTGTGTCCTATTTGAGTGGATACTGCTATTTAATTTTTAAAATTAATTGCTATGTGATTTTTGCCTATAGCTGTAAATCTTCCATATTTTATTGCTCAAGCACCAGCCGCACTCAGGTTTGTTGGGCAGAATATGAAGAGTGCTTACTGGGAAGGGCTATTTTTATTCTTTACCTTCTAAATACAATCTTTTTGGGTTGATAACTGAAAAGGTAGGACTTTTTTTTTTTAAAGGTAGGACTTTAAAACCAAATTTTAAAGTTTCTTTTGATAAATAATATTCTATAAATTAAAATTAATATTTGGAATATAATGGGACTTTTAAAAGTTCATGGAAAAATAGAATTAAAAGATAATGTCGTTTTTTCCACGAGCATTTTGAAGCCCCATTGTATGTTTCTCATGAAAAAAAAATTTACTGATTTTTTTTTTTAAACAACCCATAGCTAATTTATATTGTTATCTCCCCTTCTATTTTTAAACTTAACATTATATCATGAACATTTTCTAATGTTATTAATTATTATTTATAATGCTTTAAAAATTATCCCATGATATTTCAATAAGTAACCTAGATTTTTTTTTTTTTTAACTTTGGAGATGCTTGCAACCCTCCATGAAAAGAAATCTATAATGGAAATGCTGTCTATCACTTGTTTAGTAATCAAGGCTGATGGCTTGCTAAGAACTTGAATTCTTGTTTGCTCCTTGTTGACATTAGGTTCTGGATGAATACAAGTAACTCTTGGTTTATAATTTACAACTGAATACTTCAGGGTAGAAACTCGTCTTTTGAAAA